CAAGGCGTGACCGGCGTGAAGGCCTCCATTTGCGTACGGGGGGCCATCGTGCAGAGTGAACTCGGGCCTAGAGTCATTGGATGACTGCCACTTGTAGAAGTCGTCGGCGGATCGGCGGAGGTACTCGGGACGGAACTGCGAGAGCGGGCGCGGTCTAAGACGGCCCGGGCCACGGGTCAGCTGAGGACGGAGCCGAGGGGGAGCGGCGGTGGTTGCACCAGAAGACCAGAAAGCTTACGGAAAGGTAGATTTAGGTAGCCTCAGTGTCGATGCCCATGACTTCGACATGATCGCTTTGTCAGCATCACTACGAAGGAGAGGAACAGAGAGTCGAACTGCGGTGCGGTCTTTGAGGTTCGGCCATTGGATGAGAAAGTCGAAAGCCGGAGCTTCTGGACGCGGCACCGGAGCTGGACGACGCGATTCCGAGAAATTTTAAGTGGGTCCTTGTTAATTGCCTGAGGTCACTGGCGGCAGGCGCATCCAGTGTCGTGCTGCGTGCTGCGTGCAGTCGCCGCCCCGCGGGAGCAACTGCACGGGGCACTGCTGCTGCAGGACAGGGAGAATGCTACTGGTAGTACTTGCAGCGCGCGGCTTCTCAAGTATACGTCCCTTACCCATCCGCAAAAGCACACGCTTTAAACTAGGAAAGGTACTTATGTGCAGGTGGGGCAGCTCTCATCCGACGTCACGACGTGCAGTCAGGGCAACCTTCACTCATCTACAGTCATTTCACCTTCGACATCAACTTCATCATAACCTTTCTTCTGAAAGCTCCTCAGATCACTTACTACCTCGAGTTCCCTTCGGTTTCCGCGCACCACTCGACCACGTCGTATTGAGCATAGACCTCTTCAGAAAGCCATCTCTCCACGTCTGAGCAAAATACCACCTCGAATCCAGGCTTGAGTTCATGCTGCACGAGCCTCACTGCAACTGCGTCTCATAGGAAACAGCAACGATGGCGCCTCTACGCCGATATTTGAGGATCACAAAGTACTCCGTTCTCGAGTGTCGCATCTATCTCGACAATCCGGCATTGGCACAAAGCTGGCTTCTCAATCCTCGGAACCCCATCTTACCCAAGGTCATCGAGAGCGTCCGTCCATTGGTGTTACCAAAACTACGTGAAGAGAAGGAGAGAGAAAGGGCAAAGAAGAAGAGTTCTAAAAAGAAGACTATCAAGGATGTTGTTGTCCAAGGTTGGTCGTCCTGTTTCGAAGCCTCACTCACTGTCACCATCCCGCTCAACCCAACCCAACCCTCGCCGTCGTAATCAGCCCGGTCCAGACCATTTCTCGAACCGAATAAAGTTGGCTGATCATGACATCTGCCAGATGAGTTTGAGGTCTCCATGTTTTTGACCGAGACAAGTACGCGCCATTCGCTGCTCACTAAGCACAAGCACTTCCGCGACAAAGCGCCCGGGAAGTTGCAGTCAAACTCCAACAAACTGATAAACGAAACGAATGACGTACCTATTGATCTAGACATAGAGTCCGAGGCAGTCGCTGGTACGGTGCCTATTCGGCAGGAAAGTGAATCCGAGGACGACACTGCCGGCCTTTCCCGCATCCCCGCTGTCGATGAAACAAGCCGGCCTCGGCGATCAAAAAGACAGCGCGGAGAACCTCGCGATGATCAAGATGCCGACTACGCGACGACCTCGGACAATGATGCTGGCGCCGAGGCTTCGGCGATTGAGATAGACTCCGACGACGATGCTCCCCGGCCGTCCAAGCGTGTCAAGAAGCAAGAGACTGGGTCCGACCTAGAGGAAGACGGCGACGACAAGAAGAAGATGGCAATGGATGTCTCCTATGAAGGTTTCGCGATCTACGGTCGTGTGCTTTGCCTCGTTGTCAAGAAGCGCCAAGGTCTAAGATTAGCATCGTCGACTGCAGCTGGGGGTGCCAAGCAGCCTGCAGGTCAAGCCAGCATGGAGAACTGGATCAGCTCTACCCAGATGCCCAACCCTGGTGCCGAGGAGGACGCACCATGAAGACTAGCCGCTAGGCAAGAATACCTTGGCCCTACAAAACTGAGTAGATCAAAGTGACTTCACATCGTGGGGGGAGCTCACTCAGCTCACCGGCATGAATAACCGATGACACAATGGCAGCTCACTTCGGACCAACTTTTGAAAATTTGACACCTCTGTCACTGTCATTTGTTGGCATGCTTCGTAAAGTTTGGCCACCTTCGACCGATAATCACGCTATTATCCACCCGTCGTTTCGTGTGTCTAGACTAGCCAAGTCTCTTTGCAATAGATGCGCAACGTTAATGGGACACTCTCACCGCAAACTCATCGAGATCTGGGGTACGAAGCAAGAATACGCGGCTGTTTCGAGAAAGCCCCGCTGGGTGCCCATTACGAAAGCGACAATGGTTCAAGAAAGATTCACACTACACGTGTTGCTGGGATATTGTGCAGGCCAAGCCTTGACGCAAGCTGGGGAAAGGCAAGGTCATCCCGAGCTCCGCCTTCGGACCGGCGGAAAGTCCGCCAAACGGGCCTTGTAGGGATATGTCGGGCTCCTACACCGGACTATAGCACGCTTATAAACGCCGTCTTATTCACCGGGACAGTCCCGGATTGCCATAGCTCCAATACGGCATGGTGCCGAAGTGGCGATCCAGATGAGCCATGGGCAACAGTTGCTGTAAGCGTGCACGGTTGACGATGCTTACTTACACAGTAGGCCAGAGACAAGTGAAACGAGCTCGAAGGAAACCAAGTTGGTTGGCACGTTGGCATACGCCAGCCCAGCTGTTCGGCTTCGGGCAACAGAGAGCATACGACGTTACGATTCAGTCCCAATGTCACGCCAAGGCCGCACTAGCTTTGCAAAGTTCCCGACCTGCTGGAATCATGAACTTCTCCTGCCGTTTACGCAGATTTCGTATTCTGCCTTTACCGCCCCTCTTCTTGTCTGTCGCGGATTCCTCTTGGCGCCGTATATGCCTCTACAACTCCGACGATCGTAACGATCGTAACGAAATCGACCACGAGGTCCTCCTAGGCGGAAGGAAACCCTAGTCTAGGCTTCGAGTTTGAGGAGGCTGTATGAAGCGGTGGACGCGGAAACGAAGCTGAGTTATCGGCCGAGGCAGCCGTTCCCCGAGAAGATCAAAGGCACCGTAGCTTCCAAGCGCATGACACATGACTTTAAGCGCAGGCGACTGTGACATTCAACTCTCTCCTGGAAAGGCAGACAGGGCAAATTTCCAATCAGGAAACGCCAGCAAGGATGCTACTTGCTATTGCTTCCTAGATGCGCAACATCGATGCCAAACTCGTCAAACACGCGATGGAAGGCTGATCTTACATTCGTACCAAAATACATAGCTCGAGAAGATACATCTCGACCAAGTACCGAAAGACATCTGCCTGTGAAGCTTCAAATCCCCACCCTTGACGCTGCTTACGGTCGTAGGATAGGTACTCGGTCGAATTGCTGCTGCACACCATCATTTTCAGAGACCAAGTGGCTAAGAGTCACGATAATGACAGCCTAACCTAGTTAATTCGCCTGATCACAAATCAGTGTCGGCTTACTGACAGGCAGAGTCACGCTAGCTTCCCGTCTAACCCGCCCAGCACGGACTCGTGGTCGGACGATTTGACGAGAGACTCTGACGACATGATTGGAGATGTCGGACGGCGCAGTGGCTGCAGAGCTGTCTCTGATCCTTGCCGCTGTACAGCCGGATCGCCAACTCTTAGTAGAACGGAAGTGGCTTATACGGCAGCTCTCTCATGGACAAACATCATGGATAATGATACGCCTTGCAGCTTTCAACCTCGCTGCGCTGCACAGCATATGCGGCAACGATAAGAAGAGGGCATCTTTGCTACTTACCCCGCCTAAGCTGACGGTTTAGAATTGATTGCATTTGAATGGTGTCAGCGAGGCACAGCGAATCCTCACCGTCAAAAATGCAACCCCCCAGCCTTGAGTACACATGACCACGCACTGCCATGGGTCGACGGTAGAATGAGGGTGTGGACGATCGTTGGAGCGGTGATGGCACAACACCCGGTCTTTCGGGCCATGGGCGTAGCAGAAAACGAAGCCGAGGAAACAGTGAACTTGGGATTTAGCCTCCTCCCAAAGCGTCAACCTGCATCACCTACTGGCCGATCAACCGTTTCTCTCCCCACCAAGCCGGTTGATGTTCACTACCCGTACGGATAGGGCAGCAGAGAGTAGCGTATCCGTACAGACCCAACGTCGATGGCCCTTGTCGAGGGACCGGACGAAACTGTCCACAGAGTCCGTAAAGCGTCTGCCTTCTCTACCGTTTGAGCGGGACGTGCGGGCATTTTGACGCAAACCGAGTTCTGGGTTTGCGCGTCTCAGAGGCACCCTTGACGCAAGGGTATCATCACCCGGAGTTAGGGAACGGCAACCTTTTCGACGTTTTGCCCTCCTAAATGAAGTGAGAGCCGGTCATACAAACCTCTTTCTCCCCGGGTTACCTCTTTTTGACATGCTCGGCCGACGGATTTTCTGGGCAGCGGGGGGTTCGCGGCGGGTCGCGGAGGTGGGTCACCATGACGGCGACTACGGCGGCATCGTATGGGGTAGGGGAAAAGGCAAACCTGAGCTGAGTCCTCCGTCACCTCGTCACGGAGAATGAACCTTGGGACCTCCGTTTGTTAAAGACCTCTTCTGGTAAGTATGGCACGTTGTCCGTGACTTGTAAGTGCCCCGCGACGTTGTCCCTTGCTGCGGGCGACGATAAATTGGAATAGCTTCAAGGGGCCGTGTGAGATGTCTCGGGAAGCGAGAGACCAAGGCGAATAGTACAGTAATACAACTGAGGCCTTCTCAGAATCCGTCGCCAATTTTCTTTCCCCTTGTACCTGCAGTAGCGGTCGTTGATCTTTTTGGGACGGGAAGCTGTTCTATTGGAACTACTACGAAGCAACAGCACCAACAGCAAGACCGGCGGAGTTCAGCTGACCAGCGATGGGCTGTGTCGAGCCAACATCAATCAGGCTTCGACTGTGCGTTCTTGGCTCGCGAACTATCTGTGATTCGCACCCCGTCTCTGCTGAAAGCCTGATGAGCAAGAAGCTTGCAGCAGCCAGGCCAGGTGTGACCAACTGAGCTGCCGCCGTCGCACCGCCCATCACACCTGAGCTTGGGGGAGGTCCGGGCGTACGCAGTACACATCAGCGGCTCGCTCGCTCGCTCGAAGAGATCCCTGTTCGAAGGTGTCCAAGGTGTGGTGTGATCGTCAGGGGTGGGTTGTTGCCCGTCGGCCGGCCCCTTGCCAAACACCACGTGGGAAATACGGTGAACTGAGCCAACAGAGCGGACGCCTCTGTGCTTCCCGAGCTCTTTTGGGGGCCACTTTGTCATCATTCTCGGCGGAGGGGGGGGAGAACGGTGGACGCTTTTGGGGGCTTGCGTCGCACACCTCGTGTCACTGCGGAGCGAGACGAGAGTTGAGGAGAAGAGCATGTTTCAGATGCATCTGTATGGCCTACCGTCTCTGAGTTCTCATTGGTTACACAACGAATCGAAGGCTGGAGGCAATGAGCTGTGGTCCTCTCTTGACAAGAAGGACGATGCCGAGGCTGCCGAGTAAGAGAGTTTCTGTGGCAGCGTGGCTTGGCTGTCCTCGGCCGACTACGCATACGGGAATCGTATATCGATATTAAGAGACACGTCAATCGCCTCAGGGAAAACACCCGCGGGGCACCGAGTATACTTGGGGCGGATTTGGGGGCTGTGTGAGGGCATTTCAAAACGGGCACACGGGCTGACTGCGATTTTCTGAGATGTGAGATGAGTGCGACGGTCACTCGGTCGATGAAGCAGCCGCCCGAGACCACAGTCTGGCGCGCAACAGGCAAAGGACGGGGTTGCGGGCGATCATTGATGGCGCCAGGATCTTATCAGTTACCTCAACTCGGGCGATAATGTCACCATCGCAACAAAACTGCCACTGGAGGTGGATGGGTACGACGCGCCAGCCGCAGCAACCCCAATTCATGGTGGAATTCGTCTGCCTGCATATGCCGTGAACCGTGGCACTATCTGTTGCAGCATCCAGTATCCATACACACTATCAAGTAAATCAACACTATCGTGTTGTCTCTGACCTCGCTTCAGACCCCGCCCCCAAGGAAATATTGATGCCAGGCTTTTCCTTTGCGGTAATTGTCCCACAGCGGCGGCATTCCTGCAGGTTTCTGAACGAGGGTACACGGCATACACTTTAAAAACGCCATGTGTTGCACACAGCCTAACCGAAGATGATGGAACATGCAGCAAATGGCGGGCGGCGAGGCGTCCACCTACCGAGGTATTTTGGATCATCCGTTTTGACCGGGGAGAGCTCCAGGACCTTGATGCCGCTCGAAGCTCGAACAGCTGAGGCAGGCAGGGGAATGGGAATGCGGCGGAAGAGATGGATGTTGCTATGAAAACGCCGTCTTTACGGTTTCCTGAATGCTATAGGGCTGCTAGTCGACCAAGAGGTAGGCAAAGGCTCCATGTCTCCAGGCAGAGAGACATCAGTCGCATGAAGCGCTTCAGCCAATCGAACCATCTGTGCCACTCTCTTCTCATTTTTTGATACTCATCGCCTGGAACGGACTCGTCACAGATTTTCAATGTGATAATGGTACGACTTGTCAGTTTTACGCCGCCGCCGGATGGCACAGTCCAAATCAGACATCAGCTGAACAGTCTCCTTTCGATCGCGGAGGTCGCCGGTTGAAACCATAGACAACAGACGGACAGACAGGCCTCTGACCGATCATCGTGGAAATCTGTAATGTATCACAGGAACGGACCTACAAATCTTTGGAGGCATGAGAACCTTTTTCGAGGGGCGTTGAGACAATGCCAATGTTTTGCCTGCGCAACATGCAGATAGGATAATACTATGTTTCCCGCAGTGGCCCGGCGTTCGTTCATCAACCCCAAATCGCGAACTACTGGCTCTAATCAACCCAGGACAACAATAATACATCAAATAATCATCACCTTACGGTACAATTTTCGAAATTGCTTGGCTCCGTCTCAGACCGGTTGCTCGCGCCGAGTATCACCTACCGTACGCTTCTCGTCTGATATCTGAACAGTATTCGGTCATGCTCTCAGGTAAACCCCCGTCTGAGAATAGAATACGGTGGGAGTGAGTGGTGCTGGAGACTCTGGAGAAGTTCGATCGTGACACGCCTCGTCAATCTGCCTGCCCGTCATGAGGGGGTGATTTGCACCTGGTTCCCAGCATCCCCAAACGATTGCGACGCCCACCCCGTATCCAAGGTTCCGCATCTCTTGCTCCTGCAGCTCGATTTAGCGGTGTATTGCGTGTGCACGGTCGGGCGGGTGGAGAGCAGAGGAGAAGATCGTGACCATACTTGACACCAGTGACACCGTCACTTTTTTGTCACTTTCTTTTTCGAAGATCCCCTGTTCCGACGACGGCAGGCAGCTCACTGACAGAAATACGGAGCGAAGGAGTCAATGGCGTATGGCCCCAAGTAAGTCAACCGAAGTGCCGAGTTAACCTCCCAAAGTCTCCAAGTCTCCAAGCCCGGCGCCAAAACAGGGTTTTCTGATGGAATCATTTTGATCAGATGATGGGTTTCTGTATTTTCTGCATTGGACCTCCTCTTCGGAACCAACACATGGTACGGATGGCGTCTTTTTCGATCACATTTTCCCCTGGTTGATCATCAGTACGGTTACGCGATGCAAGGATGCAAAACAAGGATCTTCTGCAGAGAGACAGCAAATGCTGCAGGATTGCCCAATTCGGGCAACCCGCCAAACTAACCTGTATGAGAGGATGTTTCTACCGTCGCAGTGACAGCTTTCCGACGTCGCGAGATCCTGCCGTCGTGGAGAAAGAAGCAAAGCTGCAAAGAGCTACCTGGGGAATTAAACCTTGGCCCAAACTCCTGAGATACGGAGGTTCTCGGCCGAAGACGAGGAGGAGCTCTCCAAGTTTTGTTTGGCCCAACTGCAGTAGTTCTGAGTCAAACTTCAACCGGTTCCTGGTGAGAGTTCACGATGGATTGCTAGCTAAGTAGGCAAGTTTCTGCTAGCTGAAGCGGCAGGCCGCAGGAAGTAGGTATCCGCCGTATTAGTTGACACTAACTTGACAGGCGCTAGAGACATTGGGGGGGAAGAAAAAGAAGTCCATCTTGTCCTCGATGATCGTGAAATGTTGCCTGGATCGAGGGCTTGGGGCTTGTAAGCGCCCGCGAGCACACGGACTCTTTGTTCCTGGGCCGAAGGGAAGCCTCTCCCGGTGCCTCGGTTCCTGAGCAAAACTTGATTGAAAGAGCTGGAACAGGGCAAATGGGTATTGGTTTTTCACGCGAACTAGTGAACGCAAGCACTTTAGTGTTTAGCCCTCCCTCTATTGTGACGAGTACACGATCCTGCCGCTGCCTGCCAGTCTGCCAGAGAAAAGACGGTGCGCGCCTCTATCTAGCATGTAGCATAGAAAAGAAGCAAACGTGCGTACGCCGGACTATGGTACTACGGGCAGTCGGGCACCCATCAGTGATCACGGAGGATGTGATTTCTTGAACGGCATCTCGACGCGACGTAGACACACACCCCCTTCCTCTCCTCCCCCCACGGACGGACGGACAAGTGACGACGCGTTCGTGGGAAGTAAAGCAAGGCACAGTATTCACCGAAAGACGGGATGCTGCAGCTCGTTCGTGTACGGGTAGTGTACACTGTCTCCAACCATTCCTTCTGGTTGGTACCGGTCCTCTGGAACCCGTCACGGGGACACGTTCGATGCGACGCTGCATCTGCACGATGGATGCCAGGACGGAGAAAGGGGATGGGAACGGTGAGGCACGGCTGGAACGGATGACTCACAAATTGGCATCTTTTCTTTTCTTTTCTTTTCTGGTCAGGTACCTTGGGTCTCACACCGTTCTGGGGGTTCCGAAATTCTCATTTCACCGTATTTCCTTGATGACCAATTTCTCTTGATTTCTTGATGTTTCTTCTTCCATTGTACGAGACGATGATACCCTGACCGGGTTCCGGCAGTCGGTACCCCGTCCGGTGTGTTGTGTGTTCCAACAATAGCGCAGAGCAAGGTACTCCATACTCTGGGTCTGCTGACTGGCAGAAGAAAGATCGACGACGTGCATTTCGTGGGGCCCGGAATGACGATGCTATTCCCACAACCGTTTTTTGTGGGGGAAAATCTGCTCAGGTGAGAGTGGGAGCGAGAGAGAGAGTTCGTGTAACGGAACCAACTGGTTCCCTGCAACACTGCAGCTTACATCACGCGCATCTCGGCAAACCGAGACGAACGAACCCGAAACCCCAGCCTCGTGGATTTCCATGTGTTGGTTGGTGACAGGCTGCTGGGTACCGGAGAGGCAAGGAAAAAAACGGAGAGAAATCTTAACTCCAATTTCGATGGAACTGGATGGAGGCGTTGCCAATTTACGGAATACCTTCTAGAAAATTTGCCACATGTTCCTGAATTTCCGACAGAGTTCTGGGGCGGGTTCTGACCTTGCAGAGGAAGAACGGACCCGAATTTTGGATGCAAGATCCCCTCATCCCAGTCAAAGTGGGCTTTGTTCGTGGTTCCTGGATTTTTAAGAAAAGAATTTCCCACAATATTGGAGTTTGACGAAAATTTGACAACCACAGACAAGGACAGGGGACGCGGAGTCAGGAACAGGAACAGGAACGGTACAGACTCTGAAGTAGCAGTGTAAACGGGAACGGAATTGGGGCACGGTTTGTTTCGCATTCAAGACGGAGATTTCGAATTAAAACTCATTAGTGTAGATGAGAAAACGGAGACGTGGCATTTCTTCTCCTGCCCCCTGTGGCGAAGCGGCTCTTACACGTACAGAAATTACCCGCCCAAAAATATCTGCCGGTGTTGAGATGAGGACAGACACGATGTGACAGTGGTGGTCAGTGTTGGCGTCGGAGGATATCTCTGTCAGGACGCCGATGAAGTCCAAGCCCAAAAAGCGCTGCTATTATTGTTGTGTACGGAGTACGGGAGAATGTTCCACAGTTCCACTCGGCGCTTCCATCAGTCACCTGTATCCGTACTCCGTACGCGTCTCAGACCGCGCAAGCGTCCCATCAGCCCAATAGAATGGCATCTTCCGGGTTCCTGGGCCGGTCGGCGCATCAAAAGGGGCGTGGGAAGAAGGGCGCCCAAAGGAACAAGACAAGAGTGAAGAGCCAAAACAATCAGACGAGGAAAGGAGGCGCTGCGGCGTTGTGTTTCGTTTCGTCCGGTCTCCTGACGCCGCAGCGTCACAGTCACCCAGTTCAACAATAGTAACGGGTTAAAAACTCAACAAAGCGGGAAGAGGAACAGATAACTTCTTCCCAACTGCCAAGGTTCATGCAAGGGCGCCGACCGATGCAAGAAAACGTGATGGAAGACGAGTTAGGAGAGTGTAAAGATCGCCGCAATGGGGATCGGAGAGCCGCGGGCATGTGCCAGGCACGCGGCAGATGGAGGGCGTTCGTACCGGGGCTGCGGTACGCTTGAGGGGGGTGAGTGGGAGATGGTATCCGCAAGGGCAGAAATTCCCATTCGCCGGAGCGAAGGTTCATGGCTTTTTCTGAGGATGCCGGAGTTGATCATATCCGACATTTTGGGTCGATGGCGTTTGCACTCTATTCCTACTAGGCTACGTTTCGTGGGTAATGTGAACAACAGAGTAGTTCTCATCACCGATGGCATCCCACTTGGACGATGCCTCTTGTCCCTTTCCGGTGGTAAATGTCCATGTCCGAGGAGGCGGCACTTGATTGCCGCCGGCTACGAGTGAGCGGAGGGCGGCCCAGAGTGCTGAAGCTATGGCTAGGACAACGCGGAATGGGTTTCTCAGAATGGAAAGGACGATGAGGGTCAACGAGTACGATTTTCCCAATTTTCGGACCTCTATCCGTAGTCTCGGGCCGTAGCACATAGGGTGAGATACCTCTGCTCGGGGCGTGGCTGGCTGGAGAAGCGTCGGCATCGCGAAGCTAGTGACACACGCTTGTACCAGAGCACCGGGTCTGGCTTCACGCTCCGTTCGTGGGACTGGGACAACGGAGACTACTTCGTGTTAGAGATAGGTTCTCTTCGTGGCACCACAGAGAGTGAGACATTGATGGGGACTCTAGCGAAGCTTATTTCGCCAAAACCACGGCAATTGGTATAATTGTTTTTCCTGCTCATTCGTCAATGTGCGACGAACCACGGGAACCATTTCATTCTGCCGCCTCAACTTTTCCAATGAAGAGGGTCTCTCAGAATTCCACTCGCCGCGCCGCTTGATCGCATATGTGCCCGTTCACCGTGAGACATTTGTGCCGCCACGCGGCAGAAGCTGACCGAAGCTGAAGCTGAAGATGGGCTCCAATTGTCTCCCCATTCATTGGGTCCCGTGTACGTGGGAACGGTACCGCCGAAATTGAACAATAGCAGCCTGTGTCTCCGTGTTATAGCCAAGGGCAAGCAGCAGTAGTCAACCGTTTGGTAGCAGGATTGGGCGGGCTGAAGCAGGCATCACGTCAATGAGTACGAACTGGGGCTGGCTGACCCAACAGAGCGGATATCCGTATCCATAGAAGGCGAACGAGGGAGGAATGGAAGGGTCAAACCCCGAGTTCGTTCGTTCCCAACATCGTTACTTGAAGCTACATGGGTAAGGGGATGGTGATGGGATTCGGAAGATGAGGCTCAAACGGTGTAAGGGTCTCGAGAGCACAGATGTGGTCCCCTTGACTATCCGTACACTATGTAATGGCCAAGGGAGAATCCTTGATCGTGGATAGGAAAGTCGGTGTCGTCGTTTCCGTCGTAGGCTTCTCACCGACGGGGATTGCACGGTTCAGAGGCGGCTCAAAGAGGATGGGGAAATTTCCCAGCAGACTGGTTTCGGTCTGATCTTCGTCTCAAGTTATTTCGCCTTCACCGAAAGTAGGGTGGAGCAAGTTTTTTCAAACGGTGAAGCTAGAGGAGAACTAGGAGAACCCCTTTTCTTGAGTCCTGAGTGGCCAGTCTCAACTTTCCCCTTACCGTAGCATGACGCCCGACAACGATATCCCAGCCATCTTTTTTTGTCGCTATTGTGCTCCATCTTTTCATTTTGGTGTTTGCTCGTGTGTGCGCGCCCCATAGCCCCTCATGGCTCATGCTGACCCTCAAACGAAGGGGTTCGCGATGATGAGGAGGTGAGGGTCCTTGTTCGGGAATGCTTCCATTCGTCGAGGATCCGCTCCTTCTAGACGTTATTTCTCTTCTTCCTTGGTTTCGAAGAAGATGATCCTCTCTCCACCGCTTCTGTCATTTGCTTCTATTCTCCATAGCGTAACCGGGGTCCATGGGTTTGGCAAGATTGGGAAATGTAACGTGGATTCATATGGCAGCCGAAAGCGGTGCCAGGTTTCCGTTTCGTATAGTGGAGAAAGGGGGGACACTTTAGGCTTGTGAAGATTTTCACATGATTTCTTCGTGATGGGATAATGACATCTTTCGCATCGTGACACAGGAAGTGAAGAAAAATGACCCTCTTTTCTGCGTACGCGCTCATCTGCACGAGCACTTCACCAAGCTAGAGATGTAGGAATACCTGACGTGAACCAGGGTGCTGGATGAGGGGAGGGAGGGTGAAGCAAAGACAAGCGGTCTCGCAAGTCAAGAATCTCGGTTCCACAGAGACGGTGTCATTCATCAACCATCTCAGCCTTGGAGAGCAGGGGGAAAAAGATGATCGGGTTGAAGGAAGCGTTATGACTGGAAAATGCCCGAGGTGAGGTTAACCGCTTAGACAAGGGTTGTTGCAGAAGGGGATGGGGGGGGGAGAAGATCGCCAACTCATTGTGAGTCACACCCATCGACAGAAGTTCATCAACAACGCTTCTCAACAACATTAACGGACAGTTTTCATGCGACCCATGATAATTACCGGGCAGGCAAGCAAGCACAGTCACTACCTGGGTGATTGGCAGGACCTGACCGCCTTTGTGTGAACGTTTGCCTTGGACCGACAACCACACACAAACACCCTGGTCCGCTTGGCGGGAGCGGAGACAGTCAGCCTGTCAAGGAACTTTCGGTGTCCTCGGCACGGGAAACGGAGAACAAATGTCAAAAACCCCAAGGATGTGGAACCTCCGGTTCGTCAGCGCGAGAGCGGAAAGCCAAGACTTTTGGGAAAGTTGGGTCGCGCCGCTGCATGTGCACTTTTTACAATGGGGAACAGACTGGGAACTTTTTGATTTTCACGAGCCGATGTCCTTTTCCTTCTATTTCGAGTGGGGAGAGAACGCGGATGGAACAAAACGGGGTTCGGGTGTGTGTGTACGAATACATACATCGTATGTGTAATTATGAAGCGAGTGAGAGTGCGAGAAAGCACATAAAGTGGATGCGGTTGTTTATCAAACAGGATGGGGAAACCAAGCAAAAGACAACGTGGCCGTGGAATTCTGCAGACATGTGAGTGTGAGTTCGAGTGTGATGGTGAGGTGAGAGTCGTCGTCATGATGGGAATGTTTGTCTGTTTCTCCAAGACCACCACCGCCGTGGCACCGCTTGCCGCTAGGTATGACTGGCTCGCCGTGAGACCGAACCGAACGCGAAGCCCACTCGGACACTCACTCAGCCAGCCAGCCAGCCAGCTCGCCAGCGCCGCCAGCACCGTTTTTTTGTGACCGCAGGCATTCCGAGTTGGGGGATAAGGCTGCATGGGAGAGGATCACCATGCAGCGTAACCATGTGTCATCACAGACACTCTGCTGTTGGATGGGAGTGGGAGGATATGCTGTAACTGGGTACCGTTTGATAAGCGAAAAAGGCGCCAATCAGAGGAGACGCTGTCCAAAACGGTGGTCGTAACGGAATTTGGCCGGCTTGGAAGGACGGGAGTTGGGTGGTTGACGTGGACGGAACTTCTAGGACATGTACACAGCTTTCCGCAGTTTCGCATCGCAAGCACGTATCTAGGTCCCAGCCGTAATGCGACTTTCTCTCTCATGCAAGTGACGCTTTCCGTATGGTGGGATGATAGGAGCACGTCACAACCGTCTTTTTTTTTTTATCCACCGTCCGCCCGCGACCACCACACCACCCATCAGTATCATGTCAATATCAGGACTGTGGCTGGGAGCGTCCTCCCGCTCCGCACCCCCATCTGCGCTTGTTTCTGCCTCCGTTTCTCAGGTCCCACGAGGAGTTGCCTGAGTGTATGGGTAGGTTGTTCGTCAAAATGTCAGCAACTTGCGACGTTGTTGCTGACGGTGGCGCGGTGACACAGCATGGCAAGGCAGCAAGCGAGACAGGAACATGTGTCTGAGCCTCTAGATTGGGAACAAGTGTGTCAGCCTGCAGAACTGACTGAGCTGGTCTTTGTGTAACAGTAAGACAAATGCTGTGTACGTTGACACGAGGTTGTAATGTCAATAAGCTTCTGACTGTGTGCCCAAACCCGGAACCCAAGAGCTTTCCCCGAAGCCTCCGTGCTTCGCCGCGGAATATGGGTCCGGTCCAGTCCCCTCCCCGGAGTTGGGTGGGCAGACAAAGACGTAGACTAACAACGTCAACATGTTCTCCATCAGGAACCCGAGAAAAGCGCACCCTCGTTTTCGTTCCGAATTTGCTTGCTTACGGATTCTCGGGCAATTGAGGAGAGGGATGGGATGAGTGAGGCCCAACCTGGTCATTACAGAAACGGTCGATCAATCAAACCAAACACGGACCCCGAAGCCTTTTTGTCTGATGTTTTAATGGTATGGATATGCTTGAACGGCACGAACGTTGGGGAGTTCCGGTGCGAGTGGTCTTGACAGCGTCATTGGTAAAGTGTGTGGTCGCACAAGGAAAGCCACACTATGGAGAAGAGCCACCCTGGCTTGAGAAACAATATTTAGACGGTGGAACGTTATGTCTTCAGTTTTGCCCAGATTGTGACACCTCTTCGTACACCCTGATCGGCATTCAGGTCGTTCGGTTCCGCATTGTGGTGCGGAACAAACAAGTAATCCAAGACTTGAGGCGTAATATTGGTGCGATCTCCTTTGCCGACGCTTGTTTGTAGTGTCCAAAGTTTTCCAAGATATATGCTAGAAGGTCAAAAGGAGAACGCGGACGCCATCACCATGGTCCTGGTGCTACCGCGAGCCCGGCTCTGGGTAGGTAATGTGCCATGGCACCATGGCACCATGGGAAAGATTTTGAGTTGTGTCTGGGCAAGCTGAAGGCCTCTTGGCTAGCCGGCGACAATCGCGATTATCGAGATGCGGATCCGCGACGGCAATTTCCATCAAGCTTTGAACGATCAGTGCCTCTTAAGACAAGCCACCAATTCCCGGCAAGTGGGATGGAACGAGGGGTAATGTGGTCTCGTGGTGTCCTGTTCGATCACTGGGAGTTGCCAATGTCTTTGTCCTCCCCTATCGTGGAAAGAGAAAAAAAAATGATTAAACCTTCATTTGGGTGTGGCTTTCTTTCCGCCATGGCTTGGTATTCCTCGAGCTTGTACGCTTCAAGAAGGTGTTTCGTTGGCGCTAACTTTGGGGAAACACGGGAACTGCCATCCCACCCAAAACTGCTCTCTACGGTCTACCTACTCAGGTCTCAGGAACCAACCGTTTGCTTGAACTCAAGGTTTGGAGCTTGGGGCATCGTAGTGAGGCTTGAAGGCTCGAGGCTTCTTGTGTGGCTTTCCAGGTTTTCGAATGGGACGGGGCACGTTCGTGTTACCATCCGCCCATCCAAGTGCCATGTTACCGCAAGCCTTGGTGTCCCGATCACCGCCGCGATGACAAGCCCCCGCGCCGCGGATCCGTAGATCTGGTAATGGGAGGCTTGCGTTAGGACGGGCGGGCACACGCTTTCCACGGCTCTCCCACGCGCCGTAGGGAGAGTATGGGAAGGGAAGGAGATCGCCGAACTATCGTTGGACGATGTCTTCCCTCGGCTCGGTCTTCTTTACGAGGCGTTCCACGTCTTCCTTCCTTTCGCTCCTTAGTCTCTTGCGGGAAGAAAACCGGGCAAAAAGACCCTACTGCCATGGCTGTGTGTAGTAGGTATTTACGGAATACGCGGTGCTCGCTCGACATTTCGTGTTATCGGGCGATTGTGCTTTGGCTAAGCCACCACCGCCAACGACTCTCTCTGTTCCATGTTACATTCGAAACTGCGACGGCAAGAATCAAACGGTGTTTACTGTACCCAATGACTCCCATCTCTACGGATATGGCAATGGTATGGGCTCCTTTCGGAAACATTGCGAGCAAGACCAGGGATACGGTCGACAAGGGTCGTGGGACGTTTGATTGATGCCGTCAGCATCGGCATACCGTCAGCTTCCCATCGCTACCAGTATTTTCCTGTCTTGCCTAGAGATACAGCCTGGGTCTGGTACTCTGCCGTGCTGCCGTACTCCGTACCCAGGTAGGCGGATACGGGGTGGGCGACGTGCAGATGTGTGAAGAACGTGGTCGAGCGATGCGCCAAGATGGCGACTGAGGAGGGAAATCATCGATTCATCATTTGATCCGGGGCGTCTTACGCGACATGGGGGAAGCGAGCGCAGGAGTGTGTTGTATAGAGAAGCATAGCCTGCTGCAGGCTTCCCTCGCTTCTCTTGCCCGTTTCTTCTATTCGTAGAGGTCTAGGCAGGCAGGCAGGCTGTGTGCGCTGTCTATCAAGCGTAGTTTTGTACGGACATTTCTTCTTTCTCAACATCTCTTGGGTAGTGTTGTCTTGGGATCGTGACCAGCTGACCTCGACTTGCATGTCTAGGCGGAAACTGGGCAACTGGGATCTGAATGGCGCCAGCAAGGGTTGAAAGTGCTCGAGGGTGATGATGTGCACATTACGGTGCCAAGGTTGCACGTAACGTGAGACCATTGCGGGGGGGAAGATCAGTGATTGATCCCAGTGCTCCCCAAGAGACCAAGGTAAGCAGCCACCAACCAATGAGAATCCGAAACGGTGGGTCATTGAAACGGTTGTGAGCCCGGCCTGTGTGAGAAAAAAAGGGCTGAACTTGTTGATGCGGCAGTAAGATTGGCATCGACATCCAATAGACCGGATTCGTGTCCTAGACAAGGAAAAGGCTGATCGCCAACAGGAAGAAGCAAGCGAGAGACAGACACAGAGGAAGGGTCTCGATAAGAATAGCCACGGGAATAAGACTCCCCGGACTTGGGTCTTCAGCTCCATCCCTCGACCGAAGATATTCGGGGGGAGAGAGGAGGCGCAGAGCAATAAGCAAAGTTGGATGAAGCTGAAAGCTGTGGGTGCCAGCTGGCGATGCTGAAACAGAGACATTTGATCACCACCGGTCGACCGGTGAAGATAACAGGCAGAGACAGAAACAGCATATTGACAAAAAGGAACGAAAAAGGGAAATAAGGAATGCTTGGTCTCATTGGGGGCCAGGGGTCTAGGCCAAGCATCGGATCTACATAGGAACGTGGTGACACGGCAGAGACCAAGAAGGAGGCTGAACCTCTGAAGACACCCATATTCATTATTGTCCAATTATCCCGAGACATCCTTCTTTTTGCGCCATCCATCCCACGGAGACGGGAGATGTGCGCAAATGTTACCGCGCTCCGGCCATGTTCTGGACCCGAGTGATTGGGAATTCCTTACCGTTCCTTTTTCGAGCTCAGCAAAGGGAACGGAGAGTCTCACAGTCTCACACAATGATCGACGACAGGACAAACGGCACGTCGAGCTTCGTGTTTGGCGTGTAGGATGTTCAAATCTTTGATACCCATCTATTCCTCCACGCCTCGGTCGGACTCGGTGTGCGAGTGACATGTTGGAATTGTATCTCAAAGAGCTGGAAATGACAGCAACGAACCGAACCCCCCCCCCCCCCCCGGGGGGACCTTGTCTCGTGTGATCAAACAAGCCTTCTTCAGAATTTCGCTTCCCCGAGGCGGTCGCGCATTCCTCGCGTTCGTCGTCGGACTTTTTAGGGTTCTTGTTAATTGTTGACTTGCAGTAGTGTAACCTCAGAAGATTATCCACAATTTTCCAGGGTCCAGGGCTACAGATGATAACGAGCGTGGGACAGAGTTCTCACGGACGGACACGGCATGAAAGGTAAAGTAAGCATATCACGGCACGTGCGTACAGGTTGCTGGTATTACGGAGTTGGTGGTTAATCTCCGAGAGGGACATGGCCTTCCTTCAAGACGGTGTACCGTGTCTTCACTACAGAGTTCGGCACACCTTACAGTCACACATTGTGTGCAGAGCTGTCCGTGAGATGTGCGATTGGATGAACGAAAGAGTCGGAGAGTCAGGGAGGAGGTTTAACGGCCGGCTCACGGCTCGTGATGTGAGTCGTGACAGAGCCCATGGTTCGCCGGCTTCTCGCTCGGTCACGGAAAGAAGCTTTCCCCAGGGATTGGTAGAGTGGGAAGCAGTAGCGGTAAGGCAGAACTCTTATTACGGATGGAACGGTAGACTTGGCTTTTTCCCTTTCGCATTTTGGATTTGTAGACCTCGCAGGGATGGCCTCATCGGGAACCATCAAGATGCGGACGCGCGCGGGCGGCGCAAGTAACAGACAGCTCGGGGCCCGGGCAGGTCATTCATTCAGGATTTTTTTTTCTTTGGGAATTGCGAAATAGAGTGCGTGACGGAAGTCCCACTAGGATGGATGACCCCAGATGTGCGGCTCATACAGTTCATACTCAAAAAGTCCTACAGATCATTTGGCTGGCATTTCACGCAAGACACCGAACCGAACTCAAAAGTCCGGAGTCTGGAGTCTGGAGAAGGGGATGGGAATTTTAGGGGTTCTCACATTGCCTGGCACATGACAGACAAGGCTGAAGACGAGATTAAGCATACCGGGGGTGTAATGTGAGTTGGTTGGTCATGACCAAGGTTTTTGTTCCCGTGGTAAACGGAGTAACTGGATAGAGAACGCCGGTCATCGGGGAATGAGAGTGAGAAAAAAAAAGTTTGTACAAAATTGAAGTTGCATTCGGCATCGTGACCGCCTCTCTTTTCTACCACTCTCATAGGCTCATTTTCCAGCCCAACCAAATCTCACAACAACATAATCCCCTGACTGGCTGGAGGCGGTGGGCTGACCTGGGAGCCCGGACTGGATATGGAGAAAATCTGGGAAATTACAGAAGCGGTCGAACTTTTTCCACAATCGTTCCATGAAAGCTTCCATGCATGAGCAGCGGCCCCTTGGAGGCTGGGGGGGAGACTCTGACGAGATCCAATCTCGCTATACACTTCCCATGTTGAGTGTGAACGGAAAGCGGGTCGGCAGAGCAAACGGCAGAAAAAGAGAAGGACCAGGTTTAATTATTACCGTAAAGCAGGCCAATTCGGCTCGTTCGCTTCATTGTCACCGATTTTTTGATGGGAAATTTCCTCTCTCCCTTGCCTTGGTTCTCAGCCCGCCCGCCCCCCCTTACCCCTGGGCCCTACCGTCTTCGACTTCCTTGAAGTGAAGAGTGTCCATTTTCCCCTTGGCCCATGCCACGCATGCCCTTGTCCTGCTGCAAGATGGTCGATTTCGAATGGAGATGGGAGGAGGGTTTCGTTGCGCCCCGCTGGACCCCTTGAAGCGCTGGTGACTGGCAGCTTTTTCTAATTTGATGATGATTTTTTTTTTGCCAATGGGGGAGGAGGCCAATTATCCACCCCCCCTTGCTCTGCCTTGATCGTAGATAATCTGTTACCTGTTACTGCGTGTCAGCTGCTGTCCGCATTCAGCCTTTTGACCATGATTACGGCACTTCATCGTAATACGGAGTACGGATACTCGGGGGGACTTGGGTTGGGGGTTTATTCTTATTCCAGGCAGACGCTATTACAAGGTGAGGTAAGCTCGGAGAGATCATCGGGGCGCAGCAGGACGCCTACGTCGGAGTGGTTAGGTGAGATCAGGCAATGCGATGATAATTGCTGCTCGATGCTGCGGATTTCGGAATGAAATGCGACGGTGAATGGGCTGCGGCAGCAATAGGCTGCATCTATTTTGTCTGCATGTTGCTGCCGCAGCAGCAGGAAGCTGAGAAGACTCGAAGAAGAAACACCCCCTGAAGAATTTTATTTTGGATGCACCTGAAGCAACGTCGACGGAGCCTCTGGCCCCGCTATCTGCAGCAGCACATGCGCATGCAAGTGAAATGTAATGACTTTTTTTTTATCTTGTGTTCTATTGCTTCTTCTGCTTCTTTAGAGGCGTGTACTCTACTGCGTACAGCCAAGGTAGAGTTGCAGTTGCAGGTTTGTGTGTGGGCTTGCGCTACGTGTACGTTGGACTCTGCAGAACAACGACGCCAATGATGTAGGTGTAATGTGTAATCGTGTTTGCGCGCCCAGGAAAATTAAGATTACTGCGCAGAAAAGGACGAAAAAGGGCCGCGCAGTTGTATCCGTAGTATCCGTAGTGAGAAAGTCGTAATAGTAACGGACGTACGACTGTACGCGGCAGATCTTCTACGGGCGTTCGGTGAGACTTTTTCTACGGGCGAATAATTTGGTGTTCTACGGAAGCTGAGCCACGGCCGGCCGCTTCTGGGGCGGCGCCTTGTCCGCGCAATGCTGCTTGTAAGTTGTCAAGTTTGGGTGAAAGGACAAGACTCACAAGAGCCAAAAGAGAGTTTTTGTCCACGGCGAACCGGGGAACTCCCCCCCAACGTGGGAACAAAGAGCCGCTTGGTGAAAGGGGACTCGGGAGTTGAGACGAGACATCATTGCTCACTTGCAGAAGTGGACAGTTTAAACAGGCCACCCAGGTTTGAGGTGTTCTGTAGACACCGTGACATGATGCGATGCATCAGGGAGGAGAGGTCTAAGAGGGAGGGACTTGAGAGTTCTATATTCGTACTCCTTCTCGCTGTCGTCAACGCAAAATTACGCACGTCGCAACTTTATATTGGCTCTGTAACTGGTTGATTGGGTGTCGTCTGAAGATGGACGGCACGAGATGGGAGCTTTGGCAATTTTGGTAGTCCAAGTGTATGTGTATGTGTGTGTGGTGTTGAGGGTGGTCACCGGTTGACTGGTTTGGTGTCAATTAGGTGGTGTTTGAGCGGTGAGCTTTGCAATTTCCCTGACGGTTTGAGATTGAACCGTAACAGGAAGAGCAGGACAAGGGTTGGATAGGAAGAGACGGAGCTGCCGAACGCTGTCTCCTTTTTCTCTGAAGGGCTCCCCTTTTTTCTTGGTGCCGGGAATGGATACGGATACCTTCATCTGGGTGAGGTGAGTTCGCCAAAGAGTGAGTGAGGGAATGAGAGTGAGAGTGAGAGCACAGGTGTCCTGTTGGCTGGTGGGCAAATCCCTCCGTCTCCGTCTCCGCTCCGTTCTGTGCCTGACTGACGGTTAGTCTACTCTACGGAATACAGTAGTGTATGGGGAAAACTGAGAGTGGATGGAGACGGTGAGAAAGGCCGGTGTGACAGGGGCAGGAACACGTTCAGGGCAGGGCAGCCCCCTGTACGCGTGCTTGTTTCATTTCCTCGCGTTGCGGCGGTCAAGCCCCACGGTGACTCTGGCGATGCGTCACCGCCAAAAAGAGGGAGACCTTTTTCCAGGGCAGCGGGCAGTCATGGGAGCCGCCCGTCACCTCAGCAAGATGAGACGAGACGGCGGCCCACCGTTGGGGGTGATTGACGAGATTGACATTTCTGGAGAAACGGTTGCTTCGGCTAGACGCTGATCTCCACTTGACGGTGTGTGGGTCAGTACGTACAGTCTGCAGACCTGCATTCCACCGTTACGGCTCTGGAATACCGTATGCAAGTACCGTGCCGTGGTGTACCTGATGGCGTAAGGTAGCGTAAACGGAATGCCGCGTCCCCATCCACACACCAGAACACCAAGACCAGACGGAGTGGACGCCCAGGGCAAAGCTTTAATTTTGGCACTGGCAGTGTCAGGTACAAGGGGTCAAAGTACTGACGTACCTGCTCTCTCTCTCTCTCCCGTCCCAGGCAAAATTCCTTTCTTCACCTTCACTTTACTGCCACCCCATCGCCGCCCATCCCACACCCTGCCGATTTACCCCTGGACAGCTCGCAACACACGCAAACTCGCCCTTCACCCTCATCTCACACTCCCACAATAGTCACCACACACCCTACTTCTACCCTCTCTTACGGTGGTTCACCTACGCAGTACGGTAAGTAGGCACTCCCTCACACACCCTTCACACCCTTCTCCCCTGACACCACACACCCCCCTCCCGAGCAAGAAGACACCAGTGCCCGATCCAAGGTCAAGCTGGGCTAATACCCTTGCAAGGTTTCTGGCTGTTCCAAAATTGCAGAGTCTCGGACAGCGAGCTCTGCAAACAGGCACCGCCAGCCAAAATCTCCTTCCCATGGCCGCATTCGTAGATACATAAGGCACCCGACTCCCCCCCCTAGTATCGATGGACTACTATTCCCGACCAGATCACAATCATCATCGACAAGACCAGATTCAGACGAAACTCTTCCAACTTACGACCGTTTGGTTACATACTACTCTCACATCCTCCATCCACCACTACACACCAAAGAGTCTTTGTCTTCAATCCTCAACGGCTCAACAACCTGCAACACCACAACATACAAAACTCCCCAAGGCTACATCTACGCAGCCTTACCTCAACCCAGACCAACAACTTCACAACAGCTCATATGGCTTGCTCCGCAAACAACGACTTCATCACCATGCCTGCTCAGCGCCCCTCGCAACTTCCTCCCTGCCCCGGCCCGCCGCCTCAACGCCCTCTTCCTCCTCTGCCCACCCGCGGTTAAAGAGTGGCTGGCGGCTAGCCTCGCGCAATACACCGACTCGAGAGCTTTCTAGAGCCATGAGTTGAGAAACAAACCACCACTACCACATCGAATGGAGCTGCCCTTCGGTTTCCCTTCGCAGTCGAAAACCAACAACACGGACGAACGGGGGCCAACAAACCCATTGAACCAGTTCTCGGGAAAATACCAACTGCGAACGAAAACCGATCCACACCCTTCAGCAACAACACCGCATCCATTCAGTCGGCCTGTATTTGGCAGCCCGCAGGATTTACCACGCATTCCAATATGCACGCCATACACGCCTCCATGTGTTGGCCATGCATGCGTCTCACCCACACCACCCACACCATTTGACCGAGGGGCAGAGGTCCCTCCAAAAGCCTCACCTCTGCGACCACCGGGCCAATGCAACTGCCCCTCAATCTCTCCAGACCGGGCAAACGCACCTGCGTCACGATAGACCGCGGGGTCATCAGTTGCTCCGAGGCGGTCTCGAGAATGGGCCTTTTTTATTCTTCCTCCCTCACCTTCTTCCCCTTCTCTTCGTGCCGGCCCGCGTTCCCAAGAGCTGGGCTCTGCACGCAACTTGCCAGCAACCACGCAACAACCCACTCTACTTCGTCATCGACTGCCACACCCCCTACGCAGTATTCACCGACATACCACCTTGTAACAATACAAACCTACCCCTCGTTCTCTCTACACCTCTTTCACCGAAAGTGGGTTATTCAACCAAGCCAACGGAAACCACCATCTTTAATCCATGACCTACAACGGAACGAGCAAAGCATCATTACGGGACCAGGAACAAACCTCAACGTCATCATTCAATCACGCATTTTCCACAACCTCATCAACACAAACATGTATCATTAGAAAGGAGCATTTGTCAGGGAGACTCACTACAAGTCTACTCTTTTTTTTGTTTTTTTTCTTTTCCCACTTTGTCGTCGCCGATACCCCCCTTCCCTTTCTCAGAGAGATGGATGGATTCGACGTCAAGTACGAGCGTTTCTTAGGAACCCGATTTAGTCAACTGGGATACATCAAAAGTTGGAGAGAAGGAGTTCACATTTCCTCATTCGCACTGGAGCACAGGGGGTCAATCTCAGCATTGGACCACCCCAATTCTAGATGAGAGTTATAATACCACACATAATTCATCAAAACAAACTTGATCCTCACTTCGCTGCATAAATGTGATTCAACTTTGAAGGCCAGCCAAGTCCTCGACCTCAAAGCCGACTTGCCTCACTGAACCGCGCTTGAACCGCACAGCTCTCGCTAATGCCGCGTAAACCATGGCAGAAACAGAGGATCTTACCATGAACCCCCCGTTCATCAACCTCTCCCGCCTATTGTGAGACTGAGACGGCATGGGCACATGGCACGATGGGCGGGAAACACATCCCACTCAACGCACGACATCCCGTCTCATTCTCCCCCATCCCCCCCGCCCGTCCGCCGTCACCATGGCCGCGACAGCAGTGCGCGGGGTCGTTGGGAAAAGGTGAGCCGATCTCTACGTTGACCGAGAGAGCATCGCCCCCCTCCCCCCCCCCCCCAAAGTCTATCCGTCCCTCCCGACGACCACCCTGTATTGGGGGTGTATTGGGGGCTGGGGGGCTGGGGAGAAAGTTGGATGAGGTTACGGAGTAACGGACTGATTTGCTTTGCGTTTGGCGGCGGAATGAGAAAGAATACTACTCTGCGGCGGCCACCTTTTTTGGCAGACCGAGCCCATGGCTGCCATGGTAAGGTAATTTAAACCTCAGCCTACTTTGTTTCTCCTGCTGCATGGCCGCGATACCTACATACAACAACTGCGGAAACCAACCTTGCCGCAAACGAACCCCCCTCCCCTCTTCTCCATCCCCCCCCAAATGTGCCATGCATAACCGACCCGACCCGATCAGCAGACCAAAATACTCAAATACCATGCGCCGTCCTGCAGAAGACCGCAAGGCGAAAGGCAACACCAGGCAGGCTAGCGGCCACCGGAGGGCAGTTGCAACTTTTGCAGCGCGCCAACAAACACATATGGATGTCAAACTAGAGAAAGTATGGCTGAATACGGGGTGCCAGCGGCCATCTTTTGCGACCCAATGTTTGGCCCCTTTTTTCAGTATGTCGAGGGAAAAAAAACCTCCACGCCCCTCCCAAAGAGATGGTGGGAGAATGGATTGGAAAAACCGCTCAATTGTTGCAGAATATATTGACACGTCGACTTTTTGTGAGGAAACCGGGGTGTTGTTGTCGTTGTGTTGTTGGTTTCCACACCACCACCACCACCACGAAAACCATCAACACCATGATCATCAGGGCAGAGCAGACAGCTTTCTCTGCCTTCTTTTGACGATCTTTGCCTCGACATACAATGGATAGCATGTTGTTCGTGCTGATGTCGATAAGCCCCGTCGTCACACCCGTCCCAATTGTCTTTGCAGAGCGGGTGTCGTTCTAGGTGATACACACCGAACGACGGGGGTTTGGATGTATTAGTGCTTGACCGAAAGGGAGGGGGGGGGGGGGGCGGCGAACAACGACGACGGCGGCGGCGGGCGAAACGCGCCGAGATCATCTGAGATCTTTCCGCGTTGCGGTAGAGATTGCCCTGCCCTACGGATACACTCCATCTCCGTGGTGTGTACTGCTGCTTGCCCTGACTGACGTGATGTGTTATGTTACCGCAGAGTGGCAGAGTGGTAGATGGAGGACAAGGGGGCATGAATGTTAGCCGGGGTTTGGAAGGGAAAAGATGTGCGGCTAGGGCGCGTGTTTTTTTTTGGCAGAAACATCACATCGATAATGAAAAGTTTGGTCACATTCCTGCTCTCTCTCTATCTATCGTCAAGGAGAACATACTGCTACACTACCTTACCACCGGGGGGGCCTTGCCTGCCCGGAATGAGACGGACAGGCTGAGAAGCTCAGCTGATAATGTTGTACATAGGCCCTGCTTATCAATTTATGAAATGGACGCAGTATTATGATTTTTGGTGGTTTTCGCCCCCAGGTTTTACTGCGTATCTAGGCCCCCCATTTCCCATCCCCATCCCACCCGAACCACCTACCCCGTCCGCGGTTGCCAAACTGCTCATCTCGCCTAAGTTGAGATGCAGGACAAATACATGCCTTAGGGGCGGGCGATGCAGCGCGGCGGCGAAGGGGAGGGGAGGGGAGGGGATGCACGAGAAAAGGGTTTGGGCGGTAGACCTCGGGACGTGCCATTGCATTTTTTTTTTATTTTTTTTTTTGCAAGGGAGAAGTGGAGGGGTGAGGTTACCCGCGATGCGCGGCTGTTTTGATCTATTGAAACCTTCCAAAGGGGATTTGCGTAGGATGGCCATTATGAGCTGGACATTTGAGGTTCTGGTTTGCGAGGTTTTGGTTGTGCGGCTCGAACGGTGGTGGTGTTTGCCTTTTCATGCGTGCCTCATATTGGTTGGACATGCGTTTTTCCCGGTGGGCTTGCATTTTCCCCGGGTTTACGCCCATTACCTCAGCTGAAGTACGAAAGTACGGAGTAAACCCAGCTCGAAACCATCATATTGGACCCGACAGACCAGAGAGAGAGAGGCCTCAATTGGGGGCGGGGCCGAGATTTGTTGTTCGAGGTCCGAACTCCGTATCTGTACCGCAGCATGGTGGTTTGAGCCTACTTGCGTGCAATTATTGTCGGTGAATACTATCCGCCGTACCGTTTTCTGATGGCGGAGTGGATTCTGATGCCGCGGCCTGCGAGAGAGAGTTTTTGGGAACATCCACCCCTTTTTGCCTCTCGACGAGACTCCCCTTGGACGGTACGGTTTAGCATAATGTACAGTTGGAATTGGAAATGAGAAAATGAGGCTCAGCCTCAGCCCGTCCGTGGACGGACGAGAAGGGCAAAGGACAGAAAAAAAAAAGGGGGTGGATGTACGGGATGTGGAATGTTGGACCCCTAATTCCCAAGTTGAGGGCAAAAAGAGCCCAGGGGGTGGAGACTCTACTATAGTATCAGTTCGTACTCTGTCAAGTCTGTGAAGAAAGTCAAGGGGGGAAAAATGAAAATCAAGGAAACACAGACGTCGTTGACGGTTTTGATGGGCTCGACGGTCCAAGGCGCCGTCGTTCTAGGGCCTCCCTTATCTAATTACGTCGCACCGGTGACGGGAGGCTAAAGGGAAGGCTAGCACGATGGTGTAATTAGATATTCTGCCCTTCCCGTCTTTTTTCGAGGGCAATAACGGAAAAGAGGGAGAAACTGCAAAGAAGTTTGGTTCCCCCCGAAGACAAGCTTGGCTAGTATCCGGGTGTTTGACACCAGTGGATGAGTATACGATGGACGGCATTCATGCTAGCGGAGATGGCGCCGGGGAGTCGGGATTGTGGGAAAGGACTGGTACCATGTCTCCGACACAGCGGCGGCGGCGCGAGAGACGGCGCCAGGGAAAACGGAGCCGCCGTGGGCGGTGTTCCGTGGACGTGGAACGACCGATGTGGGCTTCTCTTTGGGTTCGAACCTCGTGTTGATGGATAGAAAGGCGTGTCGCGATGAATGATGGGGGATTCTTTCTCCCCTATTGTTATTATCCCCCCTTTATTGCCGTATGTTACGATTTCGTAAATTCCTCCGCGATCTAAAGAAGAATCTAAATTAATCCAGGTACGACGACGATTCGTCACCGATGGGCGGGGACGGGTGGTTTAAGCTATAGAAGCATTGAATGGGTAGGGGTAAGGATTGACCTCGTAGCTAAGAGTCTGATGTCTTTCATTGTGTGTCTATATCGAGCCCTGATCAAGGTCCGAGGATTACGTTGACAGGGAATCGGGGTGCGGCACGTCACGTCAGATAAAAAAGGACGGGACGGAGGAGACCCTCTCTCCAAGCCCTTTCATCAAAGTGACACCTGCGCATCTTTTACCCCGTGAAATGCGGTATCACAATGTTCTTAGCTGTCGTGGGTTTATTATGGAATTTTCTGTGACGAAGATCGATGAACCCTGGCGCTCCGCTGCTGATCACTTGTCTTTCCCATTTCCAAACTCCCCTTCCCCCCTCCCCCCACTTGACGAACTGGAGGAATGTTTGAATTTGTATGAAACAAGAGAGGGAGGCTTTGGTCTATCGTTCTTCAAGCGCCGTTCGCTGTTCACGCCTGTCGAGCTTGTCAATCTGTTTCCCGTTTCGAAAAATGGACGGTTCAAGTCGGACGTTTTCTGGGGCGTCTGGAATTCAGACGGTTTAGATTAATTACTTTGGAACTAAGGTAGCCACGCCGTGGTCGTGGTGCCTGCAGTAGGTTACGGTTACAACTTACGGTTTACGGGTTCGGTGTCGCGTACCTGCCTTAGTCGTGGCGAAACTCCCTGCAGTCGTCGTCGGCTTTGGTCATCTCGGAAGATGGTCACGAGATTGGATCAAGAAGGTCGAACGTTGGAATGTCGCAATGTATCATGTATCTAATCCCCTCCCTTCCTTGGCTCTTCCTGTTGGTCCCTTTGATCCCTTTCGGAGGGGCACGTGGAGGGTAGACTTGGGAATGGCTCAGGGGACTTGCATTGGTGATCCGGACCCGCCGGGGATGCAGGCGCAGAAGCTTAGAGAAGGTGCTTATCGCCAAGACGTCACCGCTTCTTATTTTTGCCTCTGTATCACTGGTGGACGTTTGACGGCGGGAAAAAAATACTTGGTGATTTTTGCGGCGGCGTGTTTTGGAGTTTCTCGAACGGTGAACCGGATCGTCAGGGGGGGGGAGCCCCGTTTGGGGGAAGAGTGGGACGAAGCGTGGCAAAACGTGGGAGATCTGAATCCACTTTTATTCAGCTGCCTCAGTCCCTCCACTTGTGATTATGTAAGGCATCTGTACCCAGTACCCCGTTACTTCTCAGTACGTATGCTCCGACCACGTGATCCCGCGCCGAGGTCGTAACGAACCGTTCAGGCCAAGCTCAGACGGATCTTCGCGCCGCTGAAGCGATGAAAGGAATGCAGGGGTCCCTACTTTTCCCCAGAACGACACATCAGTGACATTGCATTGCACATCATCAGAAACGGTTGTCTCTTACAGCTCATTGCTGCCTTGCGGGATCTTCAGGGTATCCTTCATACCACAACAGTGCGTTGAAACGGGCTTGACTCATCGGCCACCCGACTTTTCGTCATCCTTTGGCACCACGTCCCTTGCGCTAGAGAACTCGGACAATCAGGGTCTCTAGAGTCTACGGCGGGGACAGAGCGAGTGAAGGCAGACGACGTGAAGCGGATACTTGGATACACACACCGGTTCCCGCAGTACGTGAGGTGTACTCGTCACCCGGCCTTCACACCACAACGTACGACACAACACCAACACCGCCGACCATGGACGACGTCCTCGAGCTCCACGTCTGGGGCGCTGCATTTGGCCTCCCCTCCATCGACGCCGAGTGTCTGGCCGCCATCGCCTACCTGCACACCGCCCTCCCAAGCTCACAATGGCGTCTGGTCCCGAGCAATGACCCTGCCGTCCATTCATCAAGTAAGTATACCGGTTCACTTATTCACACTTACATCGGCCGGCGTCTTTACATTGCCCACCCCCTTCCCACCGTTCGAGCTTGCCGCCGTTGAAACAAATTTCCCACGCGGCCTCGTCCCATCATGACGACTCATAACAAAGAAAGCCTCACAAAGGCTCACCCAAACGCACAAAGAAACTCGTCCAAACTACATGCACACAATGGACCCTCCCCCTTTTACCCTCAGCCTCGCTAACGTCTGCTAGACCGCCTACCGGCCCTTAAGGCCAACGGCGTCTGGGTAACGGGCTACGCCTCCATCGCGGCCCACCTCGCCTCCCTCGCGCCGCACTCCCCCTCCTGGGACCTCGACCTCGACTCGCGCCTCACCCCGTCCCAGCGCGCAGACGCCCTCGCCTACGCCGCCTACGTCGAGTCTGCCCTTGCGCCCTTGTTAGATGCCGCCCTCTACGGCACCCACGAGAACTGGGTTGCCGTCACCCGCCCCGCCCTGAGCCACCTCCTCGGGTTCCCCCTGAGCTGGACCGTTCCCGTCATGATCCGGAACCAGGCCACGGCCCGGTGCGCCCACCTCGGCCTCGACTCCCTCGGCGCCGAGGACGACGACGAGGAGAACGGAGATGACGCCGCCGTGCCCAAGAACCGCGCCCTGGACCGCGCGATGAAGCACCTCCCCGTCTCCAACAAGAAGACGGTGCTCGAGGAGATGAAGGCCGGCACGGCGCGCGGCATCAGGCTCCACGCCATCACCGTCGACGCCCTCTCCCCCCTCGAAGCCCTCCGCGCGCGGGGCGAGGACTCACCAGGCGAGAAGAAGCGCTTCTTCGGCGGCGAGGTCCCCACGTCCCTCGACTGCCTCCTCGTAGGCTACCTCGCCCTCATCCAGCAGGTCGACCTCCCGCAGTCCTGGCTACCGACCATCCTCGCTAAGAAATTCCCCCACCTCGCCGCCATGGCCGCGGACCTCCGCGACGAGTGCCTCACGAACCCGGGCAACGCCCTCCCCTGGACGGCGGCACCTTCGTCGTCGCTCCGTACCGCGGCGCGCTTCCTCGACAACGTAGTGCAGGCGACGCCGAACCTCGGCGAGGCGTACCTCCACGAGTGGCGGCGGCGGGCCGAGATCAAGGCCAAGGGGGCCTCGGCGGACCGGAGGACGCTTGCGCTCGCGGGCGGGGTGTTGGTCGCTGGCTCGGCGATCGCGTACGGCGTGTGGACGTATAAGAGTCTGCCGCCGTGGGGCCTGCGGACGCAGACGTGGATGGCGGAGAAGAAGGGGCTCGGTAGGTTTGGCGATTTGGGCCAGATGCTCAACTTTTCGCTGGGACTTGCGGACCCGGTGCCGCAGGCGAGCCCGGCTGCTGGATGGGGTTCGGAGCATAGGTATGTCGAGTCTGAACTGGCTGTTGATTAAGGCTGGAGAGACACTTTGAGCATAAGATAATGCGGTGAGTATCAAGATAGGTTTGGTAAAAAGGAGGCATAGCTGGCCGCAACATGGCTTATCAGTCACAAGACGAAAAGGTGGGCATATAGATCATTCGCAACTCCGGAGTCAGGGGTAGCATGTACGAAAAGGCCACGTGGTTCGCGGCTGCCCAAAGATGTACAATACTGTCTCGATTATGTTGGTTTACACATAAAACCGTTCATCATACACCATGCTATTTTTTCAATGCTTCCTGTGCCACTTATGCCGACCTCGAATGCCCTTATACTTGAACACGGGCGCTTTTAGTTCTACACACGATGAAAACGACCCTCATCATCTAGTCTCATCTTTCTGAGGCTCCTTAAATCTGCCGAATCTCCTTTCCGACCATCTCGGGCCTCTCAACCTCCCACTCGTCACGCAGCACCGCAAACGTGAGATCGCTGACGAGCAAGCTCTGTCCCAAGCTCCAGACCAACGTGATGGCGTAGAAGAAGTTTGCGTTTCCGCTACCGGCGTAGATCCACAGGTGGTAGAAGGCCGGGCCGAGGAACGAAGCGTACATGATTGTCGCGGCGCCGACAAAGGTATACCGCATGAGCGGGAAGACGTGCCGGAAGAGGGACAGCATGGCCAGGAACAAGCTCGTGTCCGCAATGGACGGGTACGGCTTGAAGATGGCAAAGATGCCGAGGAGCAGCGTCAGCACGACGAGCGGCTGCGTGCGGATGCGGATCGTCAGGGGCCCGACGTAGCTCGAGAGGTGGAGCCAGAAGACGGCGAGGAAGAAGGGCCGGAAGGAGTCGAACATTTCGACGAAGAAGTACCACCACAGCCCGACGTTGGGGGTCAGGTCGTTGAGGGTGAGCTGGGCGCCGTAGGTGCTGGAGAGGAACTCCCAGGAGCCGCCGGTGAGGAGGAAGGACATGAGGAAGAGGGCGGCGAGGACGGCGGCGGCGACGGAGACGTTTGCGAGGGCGAAGCGCTGGGTCGAGGCGGTGCCTCGTCGGATCGGGTCCTGGCGGTCGTAGGCGAGGAGGATGAGGGGCGGGAGGAGGAGGGCGGGGTACATTGAGAAGTAGGTGGCGAAGGAGAGGGAGACCATTGCGCTGAGGGGGTAGCCGGCGATGGCCTTTGCGATGGCGTGGAGGATCGCGCATGTTGAGAAGACGGAGGTGGAGCGGCCGATGCAGGTTGCTATTGTGAAGGGGTTGAAGAGGTAGCTGTGATGAGGTTGTTAGACCAAATGTGCGTTGATGGTGCGAGCAAGGGGTGAGAGTTGGAGCTTACAGCGATGCGACGACGAGGCCGCTCCACCTCTTGCCGCGGCGGGGAGAGGAGAAGAGGCGAGATGAGCCTGCTTCGCCAGAGTCTGCGATGTTGGAGAGGGCATCCGCGCTCAGGATGTCGACGAGGACGTAGAGAAGGTATGTGAAGATCGGGAACGACTTCAGGTCCGGGAGGAGGGAGAAGAGGGGGAGGAAGAGGGGCGCCTGGTGGTATACGCCGCCGTCGTAAGGGGAGACATTGTGGTTATAGAGGAAAAGTCCTTCTTGTACTGTGTTGCCATGAATCGTCAGCCAAGATTCCTTGCTTCGATTGGGATCCGGGAGAGGGGAAGCTTACGTCGCTTGAAGCTCGTGACGGGGGTTGAGATCTCGACGCGGCCGGTAAGCAGGTCAGGCAGGCCGGGGAACGCGACGAAGAGCAGCAGACGCAGCGCTGCTGCGGCGGCGTAGACGCCCGTCTTGCTGCCTCCCTGTGTACTTGTTCCGACGGTCATCCTTCAGTCCATGGTCCGGGGCGGGATGTGTCGAGATGCGGGCTCACGGGAGCTTCAGAGGTTCGCAGTCTTATTGGAGTTCGGGGCGGGAGTCGGGATGAATAAGGTGTGGTAGGTAGGGACGGGGGTCGAGGTGGATGACACCTGGTGCTTCGGCCGGGGCGCAGGTCCGCTGGGTGCGGGAAGCTTGTCCAGCGAATGGCAATCCACCGTCCAGCGCAGTCGCACTTGGTTTAGTGGGTTGAACCCCTGGAGCTGGGGCCATTGTGCTGATTAGATAACGAACGCCAATCAGCGATAAGGATGACCGAGACTAGTCCTATCCCGGCTGGCGAGGGAGCGGTCAGCCGCTGGCAGAAAATTTCAATGGAAAAAAAGTTCAGAGAGAAACTCGAGAGCGGTGCCCCGCCACAGCGAGAAGTACTGGAGAGCTTCTGAACTCGTCCAAGAACACACACCCTTCCAAACCAAGTCAATTTTCCCAACAACATAACCACGCCCATTCGCAATAATGGCGGGCAGAGTCAAGAAGAAGGGAGAGGCCGGAGCGGCCAAGAACTATGTCACTAGAAACCAGGCCATCCGCAAGCTGCAGATCAGCCTGCCCGACTTCCGCAAGCTCTGCATCTGGAAGGGAATCTACCCTCGCGAGCCGCGCAGCAAGAAGAAGGTCTCCAAGTCCTCGACCGCCTCGACGACTTTCTACTACGCCAAGGACATCCAGTACCTCCTTCACGAGCCGCTGCTGCTCAAGTTCCGCGACCAAAAGGCCCTCGAGAAGAAGATTTCGCGCGCGCTCGGCCGCGGCGATGTTGGCGATGCGAAGCGCTTGGAGAAGAACGCCGCCAGGCCCGAGGAGACTGGCAAGCCGAGATACACCCTCGACCACGTCATCAGAGAGCGATACCCGACATTTGTCGACGCCTTGAGGGACCTCGACGACTGCCTGTCCATGCTCTTCCTTTTCGCCAACCTGCCTTCGACCTCGTCCGTTCCCGCAAAGATGATTGCGCGCTGCGAGCGGTTGACCCTCGAGTTCCAGCACTACCTCATTGTGTCGCAGAGCGTCACCAAGTCCTTCCTTTCGATCAAGGGTATCTACTACCAGGCGAACATCAACGGCGAGGATGTCTTGTGGCTGGTGCCTTACAAGTTCAACCAGAGGGTTGTTGGCGATGTCGACTTCCGCATCATGGGAACCTTTGTCGAGTTCTACATGACGCTCTTGGGCTTCATCAACTTCCGTCTGTACACCGGCCTCGGCCTCAAGTACCCGCCCAAGTTTGACCAGACCAAGGACAACCAGTCTGCCGAGCTTGCTGCCTTCACCATTGAGGGCCAGAACCTCGCCGCCCCCGAGGAGCCGAAACAAATCACCAACGGCGAGACCGAGTACAGCGTCGACCCCAAGACCCAGGCCGCGGTTGACAAGGTCATCAAGAAGCTCAAGTCTTCGGATGCCGACAAGGAGGAGAGCAAGTCGGAGGAGCAGACCGAGTCCGCAGAAGAATCCACAAACGCCATCGACAAGTTCGAGCCCGCGGCGCCCGGCGGTGACGTCCTGCCCCAGCCCGTCCACTCGAGCACCGACAGAAACAAGCTCTTCGCCCACTGCACATTCTTCCTCTCCCGTGAGACTCCCAGGCAACCCCTGGAGTTCCTCCTGCGGTCGTTCGGCTGCAAGCGCATCGGCTGGGACGCCGTCCTCGGCGAGGGTGCCTTCACCACCGACGAGCGCGACCCGTCCATCACCCACCAGATCGTCGACCGCCCCCCCATTTACGCTGCCAACAGCGAGGAGGGCGATGGCGAGGACAACCAGACATCTCAGAAGCTCGCGCCCAACCAGCGCATCCCCGGCCGGATATACGTCCAGCCCCAATGGGTCTGGGACAGTGTCAACGACGAGGAGCTCAAGCCGGCGGACCAGTACGCCCCCGGCGCCCAGCTCCCTCCCCATCTCAGCCCCTTTGTCAGGCAAGTGCAGGGCGCGTACGACCCGACCATCCCCCTCGAGGAGCAGGAGCCCGAAGGCGAGGCCCTGGCCGAGAGCGACGAGGAGATGGCCGACGACGTGGACGCCGGCGACATGGACGTTGCCGGGTCCGACGAGGAAGAGGAGGGCGAAGACGGCGAGGGCGGCTCCGACTTTGACGGCGTCTCCGAGGACGAGGACGACGTCGGCTCCGAGAACGACGACGCCGACGCGCAGCGCCAGCTCGAGCTCGAGGCCGAGCTCACGGGCGGCGCGGTCCAGGCCAAGGAGACCAAGCCCAAGACCAAGAAGGAGGCGGCCCGCAAGGCGCACGCCAAGAAGGTGGCCGAGGAGGCGGAGGATATCGAGCGGGCCAAGGGCATGCTGAGCAAGAAGAAGAGAAAGCTGTTTGAGCAGATGCAGTACACTAATAACAAGAAGAGCGCGCAGGACGAGAAGCTGCGTGCCAAGAGGAGAAGGCTGGAGAGGGAGGCCGCGAACAAGAAGGCCAAGGCGTAGAGGATGATGAATGTGTTTGCGGTGAAGAAGAAGAGGGAGGAGAGAAAAGCTTGTTTTGTGTTTCTGTTTTATTCTAGAATGTGTAGTAGGCGTTTGTTATACCATAATTGTGGTGTTGGGACGATAAATACATGCCTGGGACACATGAAAACAATCTCTCCGTGAATTAAAGTGAGATGTTGGTAGTACGCTGTGATGCATGTGAGTCTGTACAAACCTCGACCGCACGTTAGGCTACCCGTTTGGCCTTTCCTCGAGGCAAGTTTCGGTGAGATGTGGGCGGGTCCATTTTTCTTTTACTCTTCACCTCGCTTCAACCCACTCTGAAAACCGCTGTTATTCACCTATACATTTCATTCCACCTCACTCAATTGATGCGTATTCTTTTCACCTGTGAAGCATCCGAATTTCAGCTTTTTCAGGCATCATATCCACGTCATGACGGCAAATGAGGAATCGTGGGACCTCGACACCGATGAGATTCGCTCCGTCGACTCTGAAGAGCTTTATGAGACCAGACCCAACCGCTGGAAGGGCAACAAGGCGACATGGAACACCTACACGCAGGAGGAGCGACTCCTCCATCGCTCCATGGAGCAACTCCGGAATCGCGACTTATCGGTGCACCTGTACAACGCATTCGCGCTCCGGAACCGTGCAGTACGCCCCAGCGCCGCGGGACAGCCTGAGGAAGCGGTAGGTTTA